CCTTAATATCTATTCTAAAACTTATTTGGAGCTCAAGGTAGGGGATAAAAGCATAGCATACATGAATTGAATGTATTGCTAAGTCAAACACTTGGATCACAAGGAGCAACAAATCATTGATAAAGGTGTGCATGTGTGTGGTATATTTGGGGGAAGTGGTACTCCTTTGAGAAGTTTCCCTGCTCTAGCTTCTTTTCGAGAGGGCATGGCTTCTTTTCTTCTTCTTTTTTAATACTAGAGCTTTTTGCTCTTTTATTCTCTCTCTCTCTCTCTCTCTCTTTCTCTATAGCCCATGCCTCTCTTTTTGATGAAAGATAGCTAGAGATGTAACTTTGATTCTCATAGAGCAATAATAAATAGAAAGCGTATATGGTTGTGTATCCCAGTGTAGGAATAGCATAACTATGCAGGTGTACGTGCTCTTGATCAAAAGCATGACATGTTTCTCTACTCAAATTAACAAGGCTTAAAAAGGCTCAAAACAAACAAGCAGCTTTTTATAGTGGCTTTATCATGTATAAATATGTATTTGGCTCTGGTAGGAATTTATCACCATTGAGGAACTTCTAGCAAGAGAGTTTTAGCATTTTGCAAAACAAACTCCAGGTTGTTTTTACCATTCCTCAGATAGGTTCAAAGATTTACTCTAATCTAGGCTACAACACTTATCACAAAAACATAGACTTGGTTCTAGCAATTGCAGCCCACAAAAGCATTCAACTTAAGACGAACTCTAAGTTATCATGCTCAAAACTTAAGAAGTATCAGGCTGTATGACAAGCTTTTGCAAAGTATTACAGAGCAACTATTCATCATCTCCAAATAACTTTATCATCATTTATTAGAGCAGAGTTTCTTTTAAGATAAATTTTAAGGCACTCCTCTCTACATTCTGTGATCATGGATAGACACGTAAAACGAACATGAATGTAAAGAGAGGGTTTAAGATTTTTCATACCTGAGCGGGGAGAGATGTCTCCCCAAGCTTGCCTTTTCCATAGGTTGTAATGTCTTCTAACGGCTCTTTCATTCTTTCTTTATTGATTAACTACTACTACTAGAATGCATAAATGACTAAATGACTAAACCAATTACTACTAGATAACTTACTAAATATTTATTTATTATATATGTTTTTTATAGTTTATTTTATTTAAATGCAAACCCTATCCTATCATCCATAGCTACTACATACTTTATTTATTAACATAGAGTAGCTAAACGCAACTAACTAATCATGCAATGCAAAGCAATTTTATTGGAAATTGAAATATGAGATGCAACTACTTAAAATGTGGAAATATGCAAGGGATAGAGAACATACCTTTTTGATGAGCTCAGGGTCATTCTTCCTTGAGCAGGGCTGTTTCCTCTTGTTTCACCTCAGAGTCCTTGTCAGGATCAGGGGATGACGAATTTGAGGACGGATCTTTCTTTTTATGCCATCTTTTTCTATTCTTCTTCTTCTTGACAGGCTTCTCTGGTTCTTCAATTGGCTTTGGTTTCTTCATCTTGATTCTCTTTGGATGCTTCTTATTTTCCCGTTTCTCATCAAAGAGGGGTTATCCAGAGGCAAAAGCAAATATTTCTTTTCTTCCAACAAAGTGGAATTGGATTTGCCCAGAAGCCACATATATGCAAGCATTTGCAGTATTAAGGAAAGGACGATCAAGGATTAAAGGTGTATTCTTGTCATTGCCCATGTCTAAGATCATGAAATCTGTAGGAACATAAGCACTCCTAACCTTGACTAATAAGTTAGTGGCTACCCCTTCGAGGTAACGTGTCGATTGGTCGACTAGCTGTAAGTAAACTGAGGTTGGAGCTAAGGTAGTGTAAAATAATCTATCATAAGTTTCCTTAGACATAATGTTAGCACTAGACCCTAGATCACAAATGGCATTATGAGAAGTATGGGGTCCTATGAAGCAAGTAATGATAGGTTCCCAGGATCACCTTTCTCAATAGGAAATTCCCAACCATTTACAGAAAAGTCATACCTTGCCATGACAAGGTTGGTTGTCTCCATGGTTCCTTCAGGTTTGCTAGGAATTCTATCTTTTTCATAGGATGGTATGGCAGCAACTATTTAGGCTAATTGGGTTTCTATCATCTTATTGAAACTAAGTTGATTCTTTAAGGCAGAAGAAAACTCATCTAATTTAGCATTTATGTTTTTCAATATCTTGTCATGAGCATGCAACTTTTATTGATACTATCAGTCATTCTACTTTGACTATAAATAAGATCTTTAAGGAAAGCATAACTATTATTACCTTGATTATTAACACGTTGAGAAGAGTAATAATTGTTACCTCCTTGATTGTTGGAGCGCTAATTCCATCCTTGATGTTGTTGTGGACGAAACCCGTTGTCGATGTTGACAAAGTTGAGATCCTCCTAGGTCTCAAGATAGGAATTTCCTGAATGTCCAACATCTCCGCAAACTTCACAAGTCATGTGGGAATACATGGCTTTGAGTGTCTCTTGGGCACTCATCTTATCATAATGTTCTACTCGCTTTGCGAGTAGATCTATTTTAGCTGCAAGTATGTCAACTTCTTTAATTGAATGCATACCTCGTTTATGGGGTTGGAGTCGATCATTGCTCCATCCTTGGTTGGAAACCATCTTCTCGATCAATGTCTTGGCATCTGCAACACTTAGCGAAAAGAATGCTCCACTAGCAGCAGTATCTAAATGGCTTCTATCTAATGGCACTAATCCATGGTAGAAGTTCTAGATCAAAAGTCAGTCTTCCATACCATGATGTGGGCATGCAGAGACATACTCTTGCATTCGTTCCCAAGCTTCGGGAATCGACTCATCTGCTAGTTGTTGACAACAAGAGATCTTATTGCGAAGAGAATTAGTCTTTCCCATAGGGAAAAACTTGACTAGGAAAGTGTTGGAACACTTGCCCCAGGTATCTATAGCATTGCGGTTAGAGTAAAACCATTGCTTAGTCTTTCCTAACAAAGAGAAGGGGAAAAGGCGAAGACGTATAGCCTCTTGGTTCACTCCCTTTATAGTAAATGTGCTATAAATCTCTAAAAAGTGTTGGAGGTGAGCATTTGCATCCTCGTGGGCTTTCCCAGAAAACGAACTAGCTTGAACCATCATAATTAATGTTGGCTTAAGCTCCCCCATTGATAATATTGGGTCTGGTGGCTACATTAGCAGCCGAGGGTGCAGAAAAATCACGAATGGACTTGTCGCCTATGATCAAGTAGGGTAGTGATAGGGTATGAGGAAAAATGATAAACTACTTAGGATAACTAAAAGCCTAGTTAGCAAAGCTAGCAAAAATATAAATTTGAGGTCAGTTGTCTTCCTCAGCAATGGCGTCAGAAATGCTTGTTGATACATCTTAACGACTAGTGGAGAAATTCTGCAAGCGCACAAAACTATCGCGTAGCACTTCGCTCGGTGAGTACCAAGTATCGAATTTATATTTTTCCATGGGAAGGCGGAATGCTAGAACTTATATTTAGGTTAGGTTTGCTAAAGGAAAGCTAAGCTAGAAAGCTTGGAGAGCTTGGAATTGAATGGGGCACATCTCCACCGAGCATCACACCCTATATTTATAGTGTAGAGTGAGGGGGGTACTCGTAGGCAGCCAAGTGGTCGGTGGCCACCCTAGGGCACCGGACGGTAGCATAGGGGCGTCGGCCGGCCCTAGGATGCACTGCCTTTGCATCCTACGATGCTGGTTGGCTCCCAAAGGCATTTGTAGGAGTGGCACGTGCGGAGATTTAGACAAGAGGTCGGTTAGAGGCCTCTAAGCCTATGACAGTGGGCCGGTGGATCCATGGCCTCTCCATCGTGACCATCGATGCAAACCGACTTAAGATCAAAGATGGGAAGGCTTCTGGAGCAGCTCCCATAGATCGGTGACGTGGTAGGAGCCAGGGTGGCGTCGGGCGGCACCTATGTGGGGCTGGCCGGCATGGCATGTGGGCCCTTGGCCCCCCTACCACGTCCACTTGCTCCCTATATACATATTTATCACCATTTTGGTCTATTTTTGCTATAATTTTCTGCATACAAATAATTCTACAAGCACAAGTGGAGCTAGGTGAATTATAAACAAAATGCAACATTTGTGATAATGATTTACCTCACTTTATCATGCTTTTGGATGGAATGTTGATGGTAAAAACAGGTGTCAGTGACCATCAATAGTGTCCCTATACAAGGTAGGAGGCGTATAAGGTTTTTGGAAAGCGCCATCGCCACTGCTCGCTGGACGCCTTCTTCCTTCTACGCCGCCGGTGTTTGCGAATCTCCATCGACAACCCCACTGTAAGAATGTCTATTCTTTTTGTGTTGTTCGTTCTTATGTTCCTACTGTTACTAGCACTAGATAGCTTGAGTTTGCCTCGGATCGTAGTGCTAGTGATAAATCATACACCTATGGTACATGTTGTTGTTCTTTTCCTCATTGTCGGAATTAATTTGTACGTCACTAAATTGCTATTATTTCCAACAATACATCCATCAGAGAAGGCTAATAATGCAGCCAGCAGACGGCTGTAAGGTTTCTTTACAGCCCTTTCTCAGCACACTCATATAATAGTTAGCTCTTCACTATCAATACATGACCCACATATCTCTCTCACAAAATCTCTTGGTTCTTGTGCCTAAGCCGGCTGTAAGCTTACAGCCGCTTCTCTCTCCCCTCTCCTCTCTCCACCTCAGCATTTAGGCAGCTTATAACATGTTATTATACTTGCTCTCATACATGTTTGTGTTTATTATACAAAACAAAAGATAAATAAATATATTCAAAAATATAAACGTACTTTGAACTTCAACTGAGATTACACGGCTCGATCGGCATATGTATTTCAAGGTAGTAGCTAGCCAATGCAGTTTCGCTGATTGCATGCTTGATTATATTACTGTCCAAACGCAAAGGCAGTGGCATCAAAGGTGTCCGAGAGGCCAGTGCCGGTCTTGAAGGTGACCTTGTCTGGCGAGGCCTCGGGAACATAGACCTAGACAACGCTGAGCCAGAGCATCAGTTCCTTGGTCTTCACGCCGGTGATCTTCCTCAGTTTGCTCTTCTCGGCGAATGCGGTCACCTCAGAGGCATAGGAAACAGTCTGCATGATCTTCTTGAATGTGTGCTCGACCTTCTTCTTCCCCTGCACCAACCACATGAACCCTGTCTCGCCGTTGTACCCGAACTCCTGGATGTCCTCCGTTGGAAGCAGTCCCTTGGGGAGGCCGAGCTCCTCAAGCAGCTCAATCGACTTCTTCCTGCATGCGGCATCTCTGGTGATGACATCTGCACCGGCGCGGTGGCTCTCGATGGCCTAGGACGCCATGGTTTATAAATTGAGCTGTGAGTAGTAGCGCCAAGAAAGAGACTATAGTCTATATGTAACCGTAAGCTCTATGTAGCTAGCTCTGCTCTTGAGAGTGATGAAGTGTTTGTGTGATTACGGATGGAGCAACAGCACATATAGGCAGGCAGACAACTTGTAGATACTACAGACTACAGAGAAGCAGTGCAACGAATCGTGCAGTCTTGTTTGACTTCGTTGGCAAAGGGGCGTTGAACTTGACGAGGACCATTTTGGCGTGCTTTCCATCCCGTCCGGCGTGATGAGCTACAAATTAACTTGACCGTTTCTCTACGTATCTAGCTCCAACGAATTGGTACATTAAGTAAATTAGTTTAAACTCTATGAAGCCACATGTTGGTATATCATATTTTTACACTGATTGATGTCAACCATTGTAAAAATTCTCTTATTTAAATTTCGTCCAGTAGGTCCATATTAATCCTTCGACTGCCACATTTTTGTCATGTGGCCAACTGCCCAGTTTAAATGGTGAAAGGTTCTGAAAACAGGGTCCAAACCACTACACTAAATTCCAAATCAGTGTCGCCCACCAGTTCACTATAAATATGGTACCGTTTGGCACGGTTTCATTTCACCGGTGAAGCTGTTTTTTTCCCAGCTCCATGAACAGCTCCCGTGTGGAGTTGGGGCTGTTTTGATGAACTGTTTGAGAAAATAGCTCCTTATAGAAGTTAAAAATGCTAAAATGTTTAGAATGCCCTTACTCCTCTTCAATCCTCGCTCCTTTTCTTACTTCTTTTCTTCTCTCTTTCTTCTTTATCTCCACACCTCCCTCATCTAGTTTCTCCCAGCGTATGCAAGCTCGCTCGTCCCTCCCAGTGGCCCGTGTGCCTACTTCGGCGGCTCGTGTGCCTCTCCCCGGCGGCTCCCTGATGACCCGCGTGCCCTTTGTGGCGGCCACGCGCCTCGACGCTCCCAGACGATCGTGCCCGGTGGGGGGAAATCTGACATCAACACCCAGTGGGGCCCATAGGCGTGGGTTGGAGCCAGATGAAGCCACTGTTTTTGGCTCATCTCAGCCCAAAATCTCTGTGAGGGTAGGATTTGAGGAACTCTTTGGTAGAGCTGTTTCATTTTACCCTGTATGGTAAAAATTGTCTGTATTGAAATTCTAGGAGCCGGTGGTGGCGCTATGCCAAATGGGGTCTATATTTAAATTTTGCCTATTATAATAACTGTATTTAAATATCACCGGTTAACTTGGCGGCATAAAATTTTTTTTTGCTATTTTTTCTAGACATTTAGTTTAGTCGTCCTCTGACTCCTTCCCCTCTTCCCTTTGTAGTATAAAAAATAAAAAGTCAACTAATGAAACATCAAAGAACAAACATAATGCTACTACATCGATATAGGAACTCCGTTGTCAAAGGAAACATACAAAAATTAACACTACCATTTTCAAAAAAAAAAATACTAAATTGTCAAAAATACCCTTAATCCTCTTCAATCCTCGCTCTTTTCCTTGCTTTTTTTCTCCCTTTTCTTCTTTCTCTTGACACCTCCGTTGTCTAGTTTCTCCCGGCATTTACAACCTCGCTCGTCACCCTCCTAGTAGCCCGTGCACCCTACTTCGGCGGCTCGGTGCCCTTTGTGGCGGCTGTGCCCCCCGGAGCTCCCAGACAACCATGCCCTATTCGCACCCCTGTGGCCGTCGTGCGCCTTGGCCCAACAGGGAGCTATGCCCAAGCCCTTCCTCTTGCACGGTGGGGGAAGTTTGACATCAACACCTAGTGGGGCCATAGGCGTGGATTGGAGCCAGATGAAGCCACTATTTTTGGCTCATCTCAGCCCAAAATGTTGTGAGGACAGGATTCGAGGGACCCAATGGGTGGAGCTGTTTCATATTTCCTTGTTTGGTATAAAATGCCTTTAAACAGCTCCAGGAACTGGTGGTGGCGCTATGCCAAATGGGGTCTGTATTTAAATTTTGCCTATTATAATGAATGTATTTAAATATCACCGGTTAACTTGGCGGCGTAAGTATATTTTGTTATTTTTTTATACATTTAATTTAGTTGTCCTCTGACTCCTTCCACTATTCCCTTTGTAGTATAAAAAATCAACTCATGAAGCTTCAAAGAACAATATATATAATGCTACTACATCGACATAGGAGCTCAGTTGTCAAAGGAAAAACACAAAAATTAACACTTCCATTGGCCTCCAGGAAGGCCGCGGCCATGGTGGCGCTTTTCAAAAAAAAATTAACAGTTCCATTCTCAACGCGGAAAATACTAAAATTAATACTTACTAGTATTTAATAATACTAGCAAATATGTTTTTTACAGCAATATTAGCAAGTATGTTGGTATGTAGCAACAAAATATTAGGCTTTTTATAGGTTACCTTAGTTAGCTACCTTTATTGGGCTTGGCCTAACATGGTTTCAATTAAATCAAACAAATTTTAAGAACCACAATAAATGTTAATTAGGTGCAATAAAGAAATAATCTCATTCGGCACATTATCTAGAGATTGACTCGTCTTAAATGTGTGGCTACTATGTGTGCAGCTGTTATAAGAGGTTTAGAAAGGTGCAAAGCGAGCAACAAGTGTTAGAGGATGACAAGACCTACCTCCACAGGGCCTCGAGCCTCAGCCTCATGCTGTGAGTCAAAGGGTGGAGTGAGGTCCAAGAACCGAGTAGGACCAAAGATAGTAGTGAAAGTGATGGATGATGGACCCAAGAAATTTTGTGCTCTAATATTATTTTCAGAGCAAGAGAGGGGTTATTATGGTCCGTCTTTCGTATCCAACATGGAGATTCTATATATGATGGGAATATGAGCTAGCCTAACAGAATTCACTGAATGGTGTAAGAAATCAAATTCGATATTCTCTTGTTTTTATGTGGACTGATTCGTTTCGAAGAAGGCTGAAGCCGGAACTATTTTCCATTATTTAAAAAAAATAGAAATACTTCACGGTACAGCCTCACACACCCGATACAACATACATGTTAGGTTACAAAACAACAGATAAATGCACACGACCATGCAGCACCAGCAACGTACAACTTTTAACTTGAACTTAGATTACTCTCCAAGCGCAAAGGCAGGGGCATCGAAGGTGTCAGACAGGCCGGTGCCGGTCTTGAAGGTGACCTTGTCCGGCGAGGCCACGGGAACATAGACCTCGACAACGCTGAGCCAGAGCATCAGCTCCTTGGTCTTCACACCGGTGATCTTCCTTACCTTGCCCTTCTCAGCGAACGCTGTCACCTCGGAGGCATAGGACACCGTTTGCTTGATCTTCTTGAACGTGTGCTCGACCTTCTTCTTCCACTGAACCAGCCACATGAACCCTGTCTTGCGGTTGTACCCGAACTCCTAGATGTCCTCCATTGGAAGCAGGCCCTTGGGGAGGCCGAGCTCCTCCAGCAGCTCAACAGACTTCTTCCTGCTTGCAGCGTCTCCGATGATGACCTCAGCACCGGCACAGTGGCTCTTGATATCCTGGGACACCATGATTTACAAATTGAGCTGTGTGTAGCGCCAAGAAAGAGACTATAGTCTATATATGTAGCCGTAAACTGTATGTAGCTAGATGCTCTTGAGAACGATGAAGTGTTTGTGTGATTAGGGATGGAGCAACAGCACATATAAATAGGCTGGCAGGCAGCTTGTACAGACTACAGACTACAGAGAAGCAGTGCAACGAATCGTGCAGTCTTGTTTGACTTCGTTGGCAAAGGGGCGTTGAGCTTGACAACGACCATTTTGGCGTGCTTTCCATCCCGTCCGGCGTGCTGAGCTACAAATTAACTTGACCGTTTCTCTATGTATCTAGCTCCAATGAATTGGTACATTATGTAAATTAGTTTAAACTCTATTCGAGTAGCCACCGGTTTAACTGGTAAAAGATACTGAAAATAGAGTCCAAACCACTACAGTAAATTCCAAACCAGTGTTGCCCACCGGTTCACTATAAATGTGGTACTATTTGACATGGCTTCACTTCACCAGTGAAGCTGTTTTTTTTCTCCCGCTCCACGAACAACTCCCCCGGTGGAGCTGGGGCTATTTTAGTGGACTGTTTGAGAAAATAGGTTCTTATAGTAGTTAAACATACTAAAATGTCTAGAATACCCTTACTCCTCTTCAATTCTTGATCTTTTCCTTACTTTTTTCTCCTTTTTCTTCTTTCTCTCCATACCGCCCTCGTCTAGTTTCTCCCAGCGTCTACAACCTCGCTCGCCCCCCCTCCTAGTGGATTGTGCGCCCTACTTCAGCGGCTCTTGTGCCCTCCCCGACGACCCGCGTGCCCTTTGCGGCAGCTACGCCCCCCGGCGCTCCTAGACGGTCGTGCCCCATTCGCGCCCCAGTGGCCGCCGTGCGCCTTGGCCCAACAGGGAGCTATGCCCATACCCTTCCTCATGCACGGTGGGGGAAGTACGACATCAACGCCCAGTGAGGCCCATAGGCATGGGTTGAATCCCGATGAAGCCACTATTTTTTACTCATCTCAGCCCAAAATGTTGTGAGGGCAGGATTCAAGGGACCCAATGGGTGGAGCTGTTTCATATTTCCTCGTTTGGTATAAAATGGCTCTAAACAGCTCCAGGAACCGGTGGTAGCGCTATGCCAAATGAGGTCTGTATTTAAATTTTGCCTATTATAATGACTGTATTTAAATATCACCGGTTAACCTAGCAGCATAAACATATTTTATTATTTTTTAGATATTTAATTTAGTCGTCCTCTAGCTCCATCCCCTCTTCCCTTTGTAGTATAAAAAATAAAAAATCAACTCATGAAACATCAAAGAACAATATAATGCTACTGCATCGACATAGGAGCACCTTTGTCAAAGGAAAAACACAAAAGTTAACACTTCCATTCTCAATGCGGAAAATACTAAAATTAATACTTACTAGTATTTAATAATACTAGCAAATATGTGTTGTCAAAAAAAATACTAGCAAATATGTTTTTTTACGGCAATACTAGCTAGTATGTTGGTACGTAGCAACAAAGTATTGGGCTTTTTATAGGTTACCTTAGTTAGCTACCTTTATTGGGCTTGGCCTAACATGGTTTCAATTAAATCAAACAAATTTTAAGAACCACAATAAATGTTAGGTGCAATAAAGAAACAATCTCATTCGGCACATTGTAGAGATTGACTCGTCCTAAATGTGTGGCTATTGTGTGTGCACCTGTTATAAGAGGTTTGCAAAGGTGCAAAGCGAACAACATGGGGTTGGGGTTTGCTGACCAAGACACCATGTGAATGGTGTGGCGTAGGGGTTTTACAACTTCAAACTATTACTGACGTCATGTTGGACAAGGATATGTCTACCTCCACTGGGTCCTATGCCTTATACTCCTACCATGGGTCTACATTTGCCATCCATAACTTACAGTGTTAGAGGATGACAAGATATACCTCCGCAGGGCCTCGAGCCTCAGCCTCATGCTGTGAGTCAAAGGGTGGAATGAGGTCCAAGAACCGAGTAGGACCTAAGATAGGAGTGAAAGTGATGGATGATGGACCCAATGAATTTTGTACTCTAATCTTATATAGAGATTCGTTGACATGTTTCCAAAGCAAGAGAGGGGTTTATTATGGTCCATCTGTCCTATCCAACATGGAGATTCTATATATGATAGGAATACGAGCTAGCCTAACACAATTCACTGAATTGTATAAGAAAGCAAATTCGATGTTCTCTCGTTTTGTGTGGACTCGATGCTTCTTTTTGAAGAAGGCTGAAGCCGGAACTATTTTCCATTATTTAAAAAAAATCGAAATACTCTACGGTACAGACTCACACACACGATATATCATACATTAGTTACAAAACAAGATATAAATACACACGGCCATGCAGCACTAGCAACGTACAACTTTTAACTTGAACTAGATTACTCTCCGAGCGCAAAGGCAGCACCATCGAAGGTGTCAGAGAGGCCGGTGCTGGTCTTGAAGGTGACCTTCTCCGGCAAGGCCTCGGGAATATAAACCTCGACGACGCTGAGCCAGAGCATCAGCTCTTTGGTCTTCACGCCGGTGATCTTTCTCAGCTTGCCCTTCTCAGCGATCGCCGTGACCTCAGAGGCATAGGACACCGTTTGTTTGATCTTCTTGAACGTGTGTTCGACCTTCTTCTTCCTCTGCACCAGCCACATGAACCCTGTCTCTCGGTTGTACCCGAACTCTTGGATGTCCTCCATTGGAAGCAGGCCCTTGGGGAGGCTGAGCTCCTCCAGCAGCTCAACATACTTGTTCCTGCATGCCGCGTCTCCTGCGATGACCTCTGCACCGGCACGGTGGCTCTCGATATCCTGGGACGCCATGATTTACAAATGGAGCTGTCAGCTGTGTGTAGCGCCTAGAAGAGACTATACGTAGTCGTATACTGTATGTAGCTGGCTGCTCTTGAGAGTGATGAAGTGTTTCTGTGATTGGAGATGGAGCAACAACAGCACATATATAGGCAGACAGGCAAGCTTGTACAAACTACAGAGAAGCAGTCCAAGACGACGTACGTGCAGTCTTGTTTGACTTGGTTGGCAAAGGGCGTTGAACTTGACGAGGACCATTTTGGTGTGCTTTCCATCAGGTCTGGCAAACTTGACCGTTTCTCTACGCACCTAAAAAAATCTAGCTCCAATGAATTGGTACTTGTAAATTAGTTTAAAATCTATGCGAGTAGGCATGTTGGTTCCTCATATTTTTACACCGTTCCA